TCTCAGTGGACTGTGAAGTCTGTGTCTTTTAAAGGTAAATTTGCTGAATATTAGATTAGAGTCTGAATTTCAGCTTTACCATAAGTAAGTTTCATGAAGTTTCTCTGTCTATATGATTAGAAATTACATTACTAGGTGGTTTTAGGAACTCTTTCCTTATCTCCAGCTCTATTGGAGAATGTATCACAAATGCAGTAACTCTATCAAAGCAAAACACATGCTCTAAATATTCTGGATGATATCTGGGGCACCAGCACACAGCTAGGTGAAGAAACAGTTCCTCCCCCACAACAGGGACTTTCCTCTTGCTCTACAGTTGGCCTAAAAAGAGGAATACTGTGGAGATGAAAAAACATTTCCATCTGCTAGCTCATTATTTTTGGCTGTGTGGAAGTAAGTTTGTTGGGAAACACAGAAGGACACTCAATCTATGGCTCACCCTCCCCAGCCAGCCATGCCTCCTGGCTCTTCAGGGGCAGTTGATGGTCCAGGAAAAACTCTTTGCTTTTGACTGCCATCTTTTCAGGAGCCTAATGGTGTCTCCTCCAACATTTTAGACTGAGGCTTTTTATGATGTAAATTCACAGCCTGCTTTGTTCCTCTTCATTAAGGCAGAGTCTTCAGGAGGTTTTCACGTTAGAGCACTAGGACTTTAATGACTTCTTTGTTTTTGAGGAACCGTTTTCTTCCTCTGTTGTTCAGACTGATTGGCTCTCTAAGGGAGAGACTGTGTGACTGCTCATGCTCTATCATAAGACAAGAGATTTGGTTTTCTAGATGGGTATGTTCTTTATTGCTGCTCAAGGGGCAGTCTTACATGTCAGCTGTCCAAATAACCTTTCTCGTATAAAACATGAGAGAATTATAAAATCCCTCTGCCACACTGCCCTGGAAGTGGCAACTTTTAAGTTATGAAGGTGGGGAGAGGTGTTGAGTTTCTGCCCAAGTATTATGAGAAGCATAATAGATGTGTAACATCTGATTATTCAGTACCAAGATCCCACCAAATCTTGTATGGAACTTTTCCACCTCTTCAAGTGACTTTGCACATGAGCAATTTCTTCCGGTGTTGAAGCCTTTCTACGATCTGTGTCAATTAGGTCTCTTGTATTTACACCAAAGATTGACTGAGACAACTGTGTGCACAAGCCAACTCAACGTTCTATCTCTTCTGCAAAAACCTGTGGTTTGTCCAAACTCAGGGGAAAATGTGTGAATTGTACTGATTTGGGTGGGGCAATTGCTAAGCTGTTTTTTCAGTCCTGGGAGAAGAAGTTGGAGCAAGGTATCAAGAAAGTAGGCTGGCATGGAGTAACATCCTACAGCACATCCATGTAAGTTAAACAGAGTGCATTTAAAAGAGAGATTGAGCAAATATTGCTGTCAGTTGCTATCAGAGAGGATTGGGAAAAAAAACTGAGCATGTATCCTGATTGCAGTCACCGTACAGTCTTACAGGTGGCAGATTTATATGACTGAGGAATCATCAGAGCATTGTGAGATATATCCCAGGAAACAAATGTGGATAAACACAATAAAGACCTCAGATCATTCTGAAGGAAACCCAAAATAAAACAGAACAGGCAAGACTTCCTGAATGCCTCAACATTTGTAAAGGGCCTCTAAGTGCTTCTTTAGGGTTATGGCAATGCTAGGAGTCTTGCTTGAAGAGGACTAGGGCTGTTCTCCTGTTAATTCCTGTCTGGAAAATTTTCATGCATTAAACCCAGGAAGACATTTTGCAAGTAAGGTAGTGAACATATGCCTTTCTGAGGCAGAGCTATGTCTTGGGGAGTAAAAATGTGTGTATGTGCACCTTTATGTCAAGTTGGCTGGAGTCATTATAGCTCTGTGATGCCTATCTCTAAACACCTCTTCTGGATTGTGTCAAACACTAATGAAAAAAGATAAAATAGTCTGTCTGAGGAACACATGTGAGATTGCTCACAGATTTGGCTGAATTTTGCTGATGGTTATTGGGATGGGTGTAGGAAAAAGAAGAGTACAATAGAAAGAGCAAAGGTGTTTGCAGGAATTGTCATTCAAACCAGATTTCACATTGACATAGGAGATATGCAGTTCTGCTCTAATGATGAAATTAAGCCAATAAGGAATGCATTCTCTCAGAGGACTACAACACAAGCTTGTTTAGAATTGCCATTAAATTTTGGTACACTTCACAAAGAAATAGATGTGAACATTTCAGAAAGCAGTCATCAGGCACCTTGTTGTTTGCCAAGAAAAATAGGCAATTATGAACATTATGTCCAACTATGCATCATATCGACTCCAGTCAAAACCATTTAAATCCAGTCAAGCATTGCTTTCACACATAAAACCCTACCCAATGCTTGATTATACCTCAGAATACCAGGTATGCAGCCTAGGATGTTGGCCAATAAAAATATTCCATTGTCTAGGAATTTTAATCCATGCATCTATATTTGTAAATGTCATAAATTTGATTGCAAAAGATTGCAATTATCAAACCCTTACTGTTTTCACTTTTCTGTCCAAATTTGTTAAAAAGCCTTTAAAATCAAAAGCAAATAAATAAACAAAGTTTGATGAAAAGGGGTACTGTCAAGCTTTTAAGTGAAAAAACTGGACATAGAAAATAACTTAGCTTTTCTACAGTCCTTTACCCCTCCCCAGGTGATCCTGCCTCTCAGCAAAGTAAAATTATTACATGGAGAAAATGGTTTAGACTGCACATACCCAGACTGAGAAAAAATTGCTTCAATATAGATATATTAAAAACAAACAAACAAACAAAAAGCCTTTCAGGCACTTTTGTGGTCTCGCAGAAACAGTGATTTCTATTCCTCCTACTGCTCTGCTGAGGTAACTAATTAGCTTTTTCCCCCTCCCTTATAAAAGCCCTTTATATTGGAGACTTATTCTAAAAATGTGTCACTAGCTGGTATGCAAGCACCAGGTCGTCTCAGCAAGTGTCAGTAGCACTGGGAGTCTTAGCACAGTAGAGCAACCTGTGCTTTAACATTATGTCAATTTGACCTGCTGTGAGCATGCTATTGAATTTACAGCTCTGACAGACTAATTGAAGGAGGGCTCTCCATACTTACAGGAACTAGAACTGAGTCACTATTAGTAAACCCAGGAATTTTCTGCTTACTAAAACAGTTGCTCAAGGATTCAGCCTTCTGGGTCTATGCTGCTCAGCCATCCACTGGATGAGTATTTCCTTTCACCTTCTCCATCCTAATTTGTGCTTTTTTTCCCTAGCACAGCTTTCAGTGGGAGACACTTGCCTGATTTCATTATAAACATGATGGTTAAAATATCGCTGTCAAAAATCTTCCCAAGAACAATGTTGCTGTCAAACACTCCAGACAAACTGTGTGGTTAAATGCTTAACTCTTGAGTACAATGACCACAGCTTAACTGAAAGTAAGCTTTTATCACTACTGGTATTAAAAATGGCATGTGCAATCCTAAACAGGAAAATGGAGGGATCAAGTAGCTTTGGTCTGTCACTTCATGACCAGACATTCCAGGAATCTTTGAGAGACCTTTAGCCAGTGAAAAGACACGTACAGTAGCTGACAAAAAGTATTTTTTTGGATACTATCAAAGGTGAATCTGCACAGAGGGAGTTGATTTCATTTTATTGCAGCCAGTTTTGGAACGTACATGCCAGAAACAGGAATGTTTCCTTCATTTCGCCTGATTTATCATTACAAGAACTAACAGAGCTCCTTCATAAACTACTGGAGCTCAGCTCTGGCACAGGTCCAGCAAAGTTACACAACTTACTTAACACCACAAAGAATATAATGCCTCTATTTACCCCCCAAATAATGCCCACCATTTTTCACAGCATTGTACCAAAATTCATGAATGAATTCTGACAACATATATTGACAAAAGGTATTTCTTTTTCCCAGCAGAATAAAGAGAATAGAAACTATATTTTGAAAGCCAACCATGACCCCAAAAGTTCAGGTAGGTACCTAAGATACAGTGTAGACTCTAAGCTGAATTTCTTGAAAGGAGTGGTAGGCACCTAAATACCTTTGTAGTGTGCTGTCAATAGACAGCTGAGTTCTTAGGTAAATATCTAGGCATGAGCCACTCCCTCTTCACACCCACCTGCTGAATGACTTACACCTCTACCTAATTTAGATGAGCACTATTCTTTTCTTCCCTTAGGGCCCAAGAGAATTTCCCTGGTTATTTGCCCTGTGTAGGAGCTCCACCTTCAAACATCTGTGGTCTAGCCTTTTTCTATAAGACTCTTTCGCTGTGGGTGCAGGGTAAATTGATATAAAATTGGAACCTGGGTTAAATAGGTTCTGTTGGCCACATTTCACATGCTTTTTGTATATCGTGTGTGTGTGCAAGGGGAACGTTAGTGTTATGCAAACAGTTATAATGCGTCAGCGCTCCATGACTTTCTTGCATTTAGCCTTGGTTTGCCCTCCATACTTGACTCTGGCAACCTCACTATTTTTCTTCTTATCTTTATGCAGTAGCTGAGAATTTGCACTCAGAAAGATATCAAGGTACCTAAAAATTAAAGTTGTCTAAGTGCTTTTGATTTTAGCAGGAATTAGAAAACTAATTAAGAAAAGGATATTTGACTATATTTGTAGATCTGAGCGTTGACAAATGGTTAACAGCCATCTCAGTTTGTGAGAAAAATAAAAGATTTATAACAGTGGTTTTTTGAGCAATGTGATAAACTGCTACGAGTGATGTGAGAATCCTAATATTAGTGCACAGGCATTAATCTGATTTCACTTTTCAGTGTTGAACTCTATTCATAAATACATTAAGCGATCAGCAAACCAAATGCTGAATGTTATATTAGTTCAAAGCACAAACTAGGCGCAACATAAAAAAATGAACCTTGAGTGGTTTTTGCTTGAACTTTGTATGTAACCATATTAAGATGCTGAATATTTCAAAGGCTGAAAGTATTTATAGCTTTTGACTTTTAACCGTATTTTATCCTTTGCCTTATTTCTTGTCCTCAGCAAATGTCAAGTGGGTGTTGTGTGGAACTGAGAGAGACCAATCTTGAGAGAACATCCGCCTTCAATAAGTGGAACTCCAGATTACACAAAGCTGCAGGCATAAAAGCAGCTACGAAAGAAAGTTCACTCTGAAAATGAAACAATTTTCTCTAGAAAAATGAACATGAAAGTTAAAGTAAGGACTTAACTGAAATCATCATGCTTTTAGAGAGTGTACTTTGTATCTAACAGTATTTGTTATCAAATTAAATCTGTGATGAAGGTTTTAGTTTTAAAACTTTCTATTTCCTTTTCCTGGAGTTGGTATATTTATACAAAAAAAGCCAGTCAATTTTCACTCTGCTTCTGAGAATTATGATCTACCAAGTAAGCTTGAATTTCTGAGAATTATGATCTACCTAGTAAGCTTGAATTTCTCTGTAAATTCAAGTCATTCTTTTAAGAAGAGCATATAAATACTCTGAACAGGATGTTTTTTCAGAGATGTAATTCAAATCCAAGTGGCTGGGGTATCTGACTTATCTCATTATAGAAGAGACCAGAACCAGGGCTTGCTTTGTAATGCATGTACAGAGTGCAGAGTGCAGGTGATGACTTGAGCTCTCAAAGCTTGTATTCTAAAACTTGCACCCACACATTCTGAAAGCTCAGCCAGATTTATCAAGAGGTTAGCTAAAGTTGTGAACCTTTCAGGTAAACTTATGGTTAATTTTGAGTGAATATTGACTGATTTATAGTTACATGTATCTAACATGCTGAGGTTCAGCTTTTTTTCTTACTGTGTTACACTTGGAGTTATTTTGGTTTATTTAAGCCTGGAGTTCAAACTGAGTTTCATGAGAGACAACCCCCTAGAAACTAAATCCAAGGACACTGATAAAAATCTGAGGATGGAAATTGCTGAGTTTCAGGCAGGTCTGGATGCAGCAAAGCCTCCTTTTCAGCCTCTTTGCAATCCTGCAGTCTACAATGAGAATACAACTGAGCTGTACTTAGGGGAGTTTTGACAGAGTGGAATGATTGAACCTTGGGAAGAGAAGGGCAGAAGAAGCAAACAAACACAATTTTTTAAGACGAGATGCAAAATAGCTGTATATGCTCTACGTCATGTAGTAAGATAAAGTTTCTTCCTAGTTTCCCATGGCATAGTTCTGTAGGAAAACTCAGGACACAGTACATCCTTGGATCCAGAAAACAGAACCAATATGTGTAGGATACTCTTATGTCCTGCTAAGCTTGGCTACAACAGCAAACAAAGCACAGGTGTGTAACCATACTGTGCATCAGGCCCGGATCAAGTGGCATCACTTGACAGTTTGTCTCTTCTTTTCGTGTAACTCCATGCTTGCTTTGGGCCTGGCTAGGGTATGAGAAGGCAGGCAGAGGGTCTATATGGCCACACAGATGCTCTGAGAGATGCTGCACTGTGCTGGTTTTGCTAGCTTTGAACCCCTCACATAAACCTGTGTGTCTTCTGTGAAAGCTGAAGCAGGGCCTCTGCGAGTTATCTCTCCTACAGAGCCAGCAGGAAGGTTGAGCCTTCACCAGAGGCCAGCACAAAGCACCTTGGGTTCTGCTGCACAGGAAGGGGAGGGAGAACAGCATCCCTCTTTCCTTTCCCCCATTCCTGGCCCCCATGCTCCCTCCTTTTCTCCCCCCCACCCCCCCCTTCCCGAGACAAATGTATCTGGGTCTCCTGGAAAGTGAGAAATGCTCCCAGTTTTTGTAGCTTGACATAGTTTGGTTTTATTGGCTTCTACTCTGAATTGCTCTCTGGAGGAATCTGGCAGTGTCCCATGATAATATGCAGATCCCAGGGGGACCTGTGTTTCTACCTAAGTGTATAAGTAACATGAGAGCTGGTCTCACTACTCTCCTTTGCTTAGTCTGTTACATAGCTTTGCATAATTCTGTTGCACTACTTAAGTAGATTACACAGATAATAATACCTTTGAAGTCGGGTGTGACAACTTTCACACTAAATTCCAGCTTCATGTCCTGTACTCTGGTCAGTCTATAAAAAGCAGAAGTGAATATATACACAACATGGAGTCTATTGTTTCTTGTCTTCTGGAGTATGATTTTTATTATTCTAGGTGATTACTTTTTATGTCTAGCTTGAAATAGAGTTCTTGTAATTGTATTGTTTACTTCTCTGGAGAAACCAGTTTGTTTTCCTATTCTCTTTTGAAATTTAATTAATTCCTTCATGAACAGTTAGGAACTGAATAGAAAAGGTCTGCTTAGGGGCCAGATTCTTCTGACTGTATAAATATAAAGGTTCCCACAGTCTAAATATGATGCTTCTACTTCCCTGCAGCAGCATCAAAACGTAAAGATAAGAAACAACCAGGACATAGAGAAAATAATTACTAATTATTAAATAACTACTACTATTAAATCAAGTACTTTATACCAAAAATAAGCTGACCCTATGACAATCTATTCTTGGTAACTGGTAGTACAGATAAAGGAAAGAGATGGGGCTAGATAATTTATTAAGAGAGTTATAAAACCAGCTAGCAGATAGTTAAATGATGACATTATCTTTCACAGTATGAACAAATGTCAGGTGTATAATGGAATGAAAACCAGCTATGTTTCAACGTGGGTTTAAATATTTGGAAATGAACACCTTCAGTATTTTCTTAATGTACTTTGTTAATTAAGTCAGTGGGATGTGTACTCCCAAGTCCCTCAGGCGTGGGTGTGTCCCCCTAAGTGTGTCCCCCTAAGTCAGGCTGACAAAATTTATTTATGTGATTCAAAAAGCATATCAAGTCTTACCTCATGATTTAAGAACTCTGTTAGTTATTTAAAGCTACAAAAATAAATAGCAGGATATGCACCATCTCTCTACACCATTCTTCTTTCTGTCCATCTCAAATGTCTGTTAAAACAAGGAGGTCTGCAGTGCCACCTCAAAGGCACCATGTCTGAAATACTTAGCCCAAAGGCATGGAGGGCACACTACTGCAGTGACAGCAGGGTGGGTGGCACCAGACTGTTGTGGGAGATGCAGGGGTGTGTGGTGAGGCTGAGATGGGGCAGGCTTTCCACTTTTGGGCTGAAGGCTGAGGAAGTGCTAAATAGGGCACTGTAAAGGACTGTGGGTTGGATGTGGTACATGATGGCACTAGGAGAGGCATAACGAGGGCAAACCTTGACAGTGTGGAGATAGTTTAAAGTATGGGTATAGGTGAGTTTTACCAGCTGGAGAGGTTTTCACTGGGTGTTAACAGACATGTAGCTCAGACCTTTCAAAGAAGTCCTATGCAAATAGGAAGCTTCTGACTGCAGTGGAAGGATCATTGAGCCTGAGTAGATTTTTGCTATTCCTGCAAAACTGTGTACTGAAAACTCAGTGCTGTTTCTGACACATAGGCCTGTATGGATGTTGAGTCCATACAGGACTCTGAGGGCACAGGTAATGTCAAGTCCCATTTAAAAATCCCTGAGCTCTTGAATATGGCAATTTGGTTGCGTTTTTCATTTTGTGATTCTGTATCACATTCTATTTGGTCAAGTCAAAATATTTGGATGGACTGTGACCTCTGTCACAGAAGCTAATAGAGCGACTAACAGTTCTAAGGTAGTCAGACAGTGTGAATTCGAGGTAGAATATTAGAAACACAGAAAAAATAGCTGATTATGAGGTGCTATAATCATGGCTCCTTTTTTTCTTTATTGCAGCAGCTATCCTCACCCTTGCCTGGAAGATCTGAGAAAGAAGGTGGAGAGAAAAGTATCCACTCTTTGGTCTCCGCATGGGTGACAATCACTGTAGGTGGGGGACCACTATACCAACTAATAGAAGTGCCTGAAAATGTTCCCAGGCTCTGCTGCTGGGCCAGAAAAAAAAACATGTTCCTGCTAATAAATTCCATCATTCTCTGTAACAAGATGGCTGTGTGAAAAAGTGCCTGTTGGAAATGATCCTGGGAATATTTATACTCCCAAGCTGGTTTGGGATTTTTTTGTATGAGTGCTGGATGGCATGTGTGCCAAAAGTGTGCCAGGAAATAGTTTGACAATTTAGGAATTGCCTAGATTAGGAAAAAGGCCCAATAAGAACAGATCCATGGCAGAAAACATCTGGTGTTGAGGATCACATCCACATTGACATTCAAAGTCTTTGTATTTCAGAGAGTTTTACTGTTTCCTAGCTCTAGCCCACTCCCGCAGACAGAATGTCCATTAGCAGTCAAAGTGCATTAGATGCCCTCTGAGACTGCTCCTCCAGGTTTATTTTTATCTGAAAGGAATTCATTTTGCACATTCCAAACATGATGTGAACCAAAGTGCAGGAAGTGAGAACTACTGGGAGATTTGCTTCAGTAGTGCATCCTGATCTGAACTATAATGCTACCTCACATACACTCAGAGGCAACTGCGTCTCTCTGTTTGAGAACATTCCCAATCACAGTTTAATTCACCAGTTCATCCAGTTCAATTGTACATAAAAATTGTGTGAGGCTTTGGCATGCTAAGTGGAAATTGGATTTAAAATTTTATTGCTAAAATTGAGTAAATCTCTACTGAATGTTTGAACTGTCATTCTTAGAGTGCCTAGAATAAATTTGGGAAAGTTTGCAAGTGGATGCAAAAAACACAACTGTTATATATAGACTGTGTACATGAAGTGTTTTAACTGTGTCTCGCTAGTGTATCTGAGAAAAGAGGAGGGAGAGAGAGAGAGTGTCTGAATGTTAAAGGGAAAGAGAAAGGCCTAAAGAGTATTTCTTCTTCTTATAGATTAGAAAAATCTTCACAGTAAATTTACAGCCAAAATTTCCAGCCCTGACTAAAACAAGTGATGTTTGGCATGCTGTATCTGCAGGTCATGAGCTTTAATTACATCACATTATCTTTCACTGTAAGATCTGGACTGCAGATGCCTTTAGGTTGGAATCCAAACTGATAAGGAGCTTTTTATCACTACACAGTACATCAGACATAGTTTGTAAGGAACAGATAGTCATCTGCTCTACCAACCTGCCTATTCTAGTTGAAGTTGCCTCCAGGGAATAGATAGCAGAAACTTTACATTTAGAACACTTAAAAAGAAAGATTCCTGGAAAATGTGATGGCATAAGTGGTATTTAAAGAAAAGCTGTGTAATATAACACCTAAATAATTTTATAGTCCTACTGCTATTTTAGTATGCTGGTAGGATATCTGAACCACTTGCTCTTGACTTGTACCTTGTTAGTAATGATGTTATGCATAATGCAGCAAAGGAATTCTTCATTCCTGAGCAAGGGAACAGAAGTGAACAGAAGTGCCTTTTACAACTCATCTCTTATGGATCAAAGGAAACGTCAAGCTTGCCTTATCATGTAAGCGAGTTTAGCGTCCTTGAGCTTACATGATATGGGCTAAGTTACACATATTTAAGCCCATAGTTTTTACTATGTTTGCATTAACTGAAATTGTATGTTTATGGATTGTACAGGCTTGATTTCTGCTGGTAGTTAGATGTTCAGTGTGTCTATTAAAATTACATATTTTCAGGACTTACTGTGAAATATATGCAGAAATTATTAAAAAATATGAAGATATTTATTTTGGGCTAAAATAATCTAAAAAAACCCCAAACCCAATTAATTTAAAAAATAGTCTGTGAGGGGAAAGATTAGAGGAAAAGAAAATCCCAATAACTGGAAAATTATTCTTTTTGTGTACATTTATTACAGTTTTATTTTAGTAGTGTTTGTGTTTCTGTATTTGTAAAACACAACTTAAAAACAGTATAGATATAAAGGCTGAAAGCTGGGAAATGAAACCTTACTGTGGTCATACTGTTAAAATGAATGAGGGATTTTGTTGCTAACGACATGTTTCTGTCTGATATGTTTCATACCTTCATTTTATATTGTGTAAGATCCTGCTCTATGGTGAGCTTGCCACTGGCTGCTGCATGAGAGGAGCCCTGAAGAAAAGATACAAGGACTCCCTGAAACAACATCTCAGCCTTGGCCTTATTGATCACCATAACTGGTCTACTCTGACCTCAAATTGGGAGGCCTGGAGACACACCATCTATAACGCAGCTGTCTCCTTCGAGAACACACGCAGGATCACTCTCGAGGAAAAAAGGCAACGCAGAAAGAACCGTGTCTTGCAGAATACACCATCTAAGGAGTCTTTCTGCTGTGCCTTTTGCAATCGGATATGTCTGTCACGTATTGGCCTCATAAGCCACCAGCGTGCCTGTAGCAAATGTGGATAGTGCCTTCCCAAATCTTCGTTCGCAAAGCCTAGCCATGAATGAATGAATGAATGAATGAATGTGAAGTACAAATCATATAAGTGATAGAGTAACTGCTTTACAGTGTTAACCAATCCACTAAATGCTGTTCTAAAAACAAACAAACAAAAGGCACTGTAGTGTTTGACCTTAATGCCTTTTGGTGGGGATCTAGTACATTATGAGTCTGAACAGCATTGCTTGTCTCATTTAGATTTCAAGGTTTTTAGGGCAAAGGGTATGTTCCATCTGGGTTTTGTGTCTTGCTGAGCAGTTTGACAGTTTCTACTAAATCATAATAATTAGAACAGCAAAAACTGTATTTGGTGTCTTTGAGAAAAAAATGTCTCATGAAGCTTCTCCCGTTGAACAATCAATACAAACTTTCTTAATTGAAGAGAGCCATATTAACCAAGAAAACTTTTTATTCCTACTCATGCATTTACCCTTTCCCATCAAATCTATATCATACTCTTGTTGTGGGAAAACTGTTTACCTGGTTGGGTGGTTGTGCTGCTGTTGGCCTCGTAGCTTTCAAGCCTGCAGCTACTATTTTTTTGCTAGTTCAGCACTTCTTCAAAAGAACACTCATTTTCCAGGAAAGAACGCCATAGAAAGGATCCTGAAAATGCACCCTGGGTGTATTTATGTATTCAACTGTATTCTACTTTCATCTGCTGTTTTTTGTAAAGCAGAAAGGTAGGAGCCAGTTTTCATCTCAAAGCCACGTAGCTATGTAAGAAACTCAGGTAGAATCGAGGTAATATATCAGGACTTGCACTAAAAATATGGATCTCAAAGAGCTCTGGGGCTGGAGCTGGTGTTCTTCCTGCTGGATTTGGACTCTTGGGCAGAAATAGTGTGTGACTGACTACACAGAGATTCTCCATGACTGGCTTACTGTGCTGGTTCCAACTTTCTATCAACTTTCAGGTCTCTTCTCCAGTGACAGAGCTCTGGGTTTTGGTGCTGAAATTGTGGTATTCTCTTCTTTCATGGTGCTTAGAAAAGAAACAGTGGTTACCTACCTAGATATTGATGTTAAATATTTACTTAACATTGCCAAAATTAGTGAGAAAAAGAGAATCTTCAATGGGAAACCTATACTGGCAGTGAACTTTGTTTGTAACAGTAAATCAATTTTTGTCTTACCAGTGTGTACTGTCTGGTTTTCTTTTTCTGTAAGCTTAAAGAGGCAGAGGTGACTAATAGAAAGTGCAGAGTAAGTTTTAGCTCTCATCTAGAATAAAATGTCACAGACTTTGGTTAATTTTGTCCATGGATAGCCTATTTGTTCTTTCTTGAAGTCTATTTGTTCTTTCCTTCACTTGACTGTACTGGGGGTTTGAACCTGTGAGCAAAAATAACTTTAAAGTAACTTCTAAGTCTTATTTTGGCATTCAGCTACTCAGGCTTTCCTTTGAACGCTACCCCTCTTTGTAGCAATAGGAATACTCCTTCTATGGTTGTGTTCTGGCATCATTAACACTTCTGTGAGTTTTGTTGTTGGTAGAACACAGCCAAGATTTCACCTTCACTCCCCAAAGAACTATGCAAAACCCCTCCAAGTTTTCATTTGCTTATTTGTGTTTTTTTTTAAAGTCTACTGAACATGTTCAGGCTGGCATAAACATGGGGATGCTACAAACACCTGACTGGTTAAGGAAAATGTCTGGGCTGACATAAATGAAATATGGTGCATAATTTGGGTCAGAAGTCTACAGATTTCATGGTATAGAAGTGATGACAGCAGCAGCAGTCCCTCTCAGCTATGTACAAGAGCAGGAGAAGGTATATAACTGTTTACCCAAAATTCATGTATGCTGCAGTCTGAGAAACTGTGGGCTAGATATTTCACTTAGAGATTTCTCTTTTATGCATTTCTTCAACCTGATCTAAAAGTCTTGGTATTTGTGTGAATATATATATTTATATATACATACAAACAATATTCTCTGAGCAACCCACTAAATGTTCAAACAGTTTATAAATCTTCTCTTAAAAAAATAATTTCCTTTCTTAATAACTTCCCCATAAAATAGTTACACACAATTTCTCTATGTTGATGCAGAAAATAAACTACATTGTGATGTCTATGTAGACTTAGATCTGCTTCACACAAAAACAACGAACTCAACTCTTTCATATATAAAATACTCCAACATACATACTAGACAAGCACTGTTCCAGTCTTGAGTCATTTTCTTCTCAGGACAAGGAGTGAATGCATCCTGTAGTTCTGTGTTCAAGTGTTTGAGAGGTGCTTAATATTAAAGTTTAATGACACAGGTTCAACAATTATCATTACTTTACAATACATTGAATCCAAAGACTTTGGAGCAGGATCTGGTAGAGTGCTCTTTACATTCTTGGCACCTGTTGTGGTCTTGAATCTTTTTGACTTTGGCTGTAATTTGATTGAAGAGTACTGCAGAGGAACATGAAGTTTATTGAATTCAGGGTTTTCCACTGTTACTGATTATGGGAACAGCAACTCCAGTGATAATTAGGCCCAAATAAATTAAGTTCTTGGTGGATTCCATGGTGTTTCTCTTCAGGAATTAAAACCTTGACCTGAAGAGATATCCCTTCTTCCCTCATCCTCCCTGCCAAGGATAAATGTCAAATCAGTTATAAGCTTTTATGCCTGAAATTATGTATGAAATTGCTCTCTTCTTTACATGATTAATGCTATAAACTTCAGGAGCAGTACTGAATTAGTGGGTGAGCTGGATTTTTCTGTGTATGTATGCACTCTGTGTTGTGCATGATAGATAGATGCCATCTCTTTTAGCCTCCGTATTATTTTATTCTTTTCCTGAAGTGTCTCTCTTTGTCTGAGAATCAGTTATAGCAGGAATCAGATGTGCCATCTCTGTAGCAGCTGCTATTGTCACTTCATCACCTTTCCAACTTCAAAAATTGTACACAATGTAACCTTAAACTGTGCTTTAAAAGGTAATGTAGATGTGCTTCTATTATTTTTAAAGATATTTCCTTTGTGAAAGAAACAGGTTGAGCACCTGCTTTCATTGATGTAAGATATAGTCTTTTCACTCATTTCAATGGGAGGAGTGTTGGGCCCATGATATAATTTGATGACTTGATCGTGATGTCACTGTCACTGAACCTGAGGCCACTGACTGTACCAGTGACTGTTGCAAATGAGCAATTACACTTATTTCACATAAAGAATGTAACAGAATGGCTGATAGAACTGGGGTTGTTTAGCCTGGAGAAAAGGATGCTCAGGGGAGACCTTATAATTCTCTACAACTCTCTGAAAGGAGGTTGTGACGAGGTGGGGTCAGCCTCTTCTCCCAGGCAACTAGTGACAGGACAAGAAGAAATGACCTCAGACTGCACCAGGGGAGGTTCAGGTTGGACTTCAGGAAGAATTTCTTCACTGAAAGGGTTGTTAAATGTTGGAGCAGGCTGCCCAGGGAAGGGATGGAGTCACCATCTGTGGAAGTGTTCAAAAACCAACTAGACGGGCCACACAGTGCTATGGTTTAGTTGATATGGTGTGGTGTGGGACTCAATCTTGGAGGTCTCCAGACTCAGTGATTCAATTATTCTGTGTGGGAGAAGGTAAGGAGGAAGTTCTACAATACAGTATAATATTTTGTCTTATTTTTAATACCAGTTATTTGCACTTCGAAAATTACTCCATGAATCATGAGTGATTGCAGTGAAAGTCAGTGAGTAAGACTGGTGCCTGATGATGCTGAGTTCCTTAATATAGACCTGATCCCAGGCTTATTTAAGTCTTTTGGAATTTTTTCATGCATCATGAATATAGAGTTGATCTCACCCTGCATCAGGAATCTCTTATTTCCCCAATAAGTACCAAGGTTTGAAATTTACCATGTACAGAGGGGTAACATAGCATTTAAGCACAAATAACTATTAGAGCTTAGGTGGGAAGAAAATGATGCTGAGGCCTTTTGTTGGACTAATGTGTGGAGCGAATTGTTGTGAGGATGAACCTTTATCTATTTTGTCCTGTCTTCCCATAGCTTTTCTACATCTTTCTTGGTAGCATTATCATTTTATTAATCAAAAAATTGAGTATTTTTCCTCCACTGTATCAAGATAAATACATTTTATCTTTCACTCATATGTTGGAACTTCTGTAATCTACTCCCGATTAAAAAAAAAGATAATGAATAGCATGTGGTGGTGGATCCTTATAAACCAAATTTGTATCTCAAAACCTTTTTTTCAGGTTTCTGATTTACTGTTATAAGACATTATGACTATTTCTAGTCCTGTTGATACAAAAATGTCTTCTTTTCCATGATGGCAAAACGCGATTCACAAATGCACTTAAAAACCA